TTCCATGTTCTTATAAGATGTTTGCATTGGTGGCACCTCCACTATATCTTATTTGCCACAAAGGGGAGCATCTTCAGCCAGAATTCCAAGGGATTGTTCTAAGTTATATTCTAGAAAAATATTTCTTTTCTCATAGCTTCATCCAGCTGCTGCACTTGAAACAAGGTCTTGCTTTTTATTTGTCTATGACCTAATCTAGAATCAAAGGGTTGAGAGTTTTGAGCTGAGCTGTACCACAGAGCAGTTCAAGGTACCTAACTCTTGTTTAGTAACCACACTGCCTTGCTGCCTGGGTATTTGTCTGATCCCTTTCCATAAATGCTTTTTTCCAATCCACTGCCATCTTGGTAGAAGTCTCTTAGGTCAACCATTGTTTGTAAAACTGGAGAGTGAAGCTTCAGCTTTGTGAGGGCTTTCCTGAAGGGAAGGCTGTGATAGCCAATGCTGAGAACACCTCCAAGCAAGTCACTCTCCCACCACCGCCCTGTCCTGCATCCCTACCTTTTCTTACACAGGTTGTAGAGAATATCCTTTCTCAGCTCCATGGGTGCTATCTATTTTGTTTGTTAATGGGCATTTTGGGGAAGAAATAAGACAAAATTCCTCTCCTTAGCATCTATCTGGAAGCTTATATTCAAAACTACATTCTTTCTCCTTGACTTTATCTTTGTCTCTCTTCCTAACTTTGAGTCCACTTCTCCACAACACTCCCTTCCCAGGCATTTCTGTTCCTGCAGAGTTATGGCAGTGCGTATTTAAACTGCAACAGAAAACGCTAAAGGAAAATCTCTACAACTGCTAGGGACGAAGTTCAGGGAACTCACGTTCACAATCTTCCTTCACATGTGTGCTTTGTATTCTCAAGGTAATAATACCTGACATATTTGAATTACTGACGCAATGCAAGTGAAGTTTAAGAAGGATGCATATAAGGCCTCCATTGTATTGGTGCAATAATGGTAATTTGGAATAGTGGGGGCAGGGGGAAAAGGATTTCAACAAATGTCTTTATCTTAAACCTTACCTAAATACACAAAGTGTAAACCAAAATGTTTACGAGACAATCAGAGAAATCTGAACATCAAATATTTGATAAATTTTTTCTAGGTGTGATAAAGGTACTGCAGTTTTCTAAGAGCTCTTCTAGGGGTACTAAAATAGTTTGGGATGTAATAATAAGATAGCTGAAATCTGCCTCAAAATAATCTGATGGCTGGAAGAGGAGTGAAGAGAGGATACAGATGAAATAAGATGGACCATGAAATGGTTATAGTACTTAAAGATTCCTTATACTCTACTCTTCTCATTTGTATGGCAAATTTTTCCACAATAACAAGTAACTAAACACAGAGGGAGAGACCTATATTAACCCTGACACCAGTTATCAGAGGAAGAACAGTCCAATTCTCACAACCAAATTCTCCAGCCTTCTGGAAAGGAATGGAGACCCTCCTCAGTAGGAGCTGGCTGTCCATGGGAGCAGCTGTGCCTGTTTTGCTGGCACACATGATAGAGATGGCGGGAGCTGGGCAAACGATACTCTTCTCAATGCTCACCAAGCAGTTACTAGCAACAGAATGAAACACCCACAGAGAAGCATGAGGAACCACTCACCCTCAGGTGCGGTGTTCTCCAGGTGTCCACACCTATTTGAGAGGGGACAAGCTTGCCAGTAATAGGACATTTCCCCAGTTTGCCGTGGGTGCTGTTGGGCACTTTGCTGCTACTTTACACTGAGACCCTAAGGCTGAGCAGGGTAGACCCTTGGCTCTGAGGTCTTCACAATCCCTATTAGCCAGGTGCAGGTTCAGGTCTTTGTATTGCCCCCACCTCTGCTCCTGACCATGGGGCAGACCAGAAAATGTGAACCAAGCAGGTGAATTCAAATTGTGGGGTACCACAGAGAGTAGTCTGTTATTTCACCAATGACAGAGGCCACTTCCCAGAACTCACTTGCCCTCTGTGTTCCTGATCTCCCTGGGCTCTCTGACACTTGCTCTGAGAGTCCTCTTCTCACAGGGGACGCTCCCTTGGGCTCCACTGTGGGCTCTCTAACTCTCAGAGTTGCCAGGAATCTGCCTCCTCTTCCCTCTGCAGTCTCCTCAAGTACCTGCTGCTGCAGATTCTCTCAGCCTTACCGGACATTGAGGCCTCCAGCTGCGTGCTCTGCCATACCCGACTCCCGCGGGCCAGTGCCCACATCCTGTTCCCCTCTCTACTTCAGGACTTGAAAGGACTACCTTGCTGCAGGGCATGGGATCTGGCCTTCCTGGTGGCCAAGTGACACAATTCTGGTAAGCAGGCGGGAGAGCTAACACCCCACAGCAAACCCTGAGGATTGCAGATCGGGCAGGAGGGCAAGTAAGTGAATTTCCTATCCAGCCCTCCATCATCCAGTGTCATATGGTAGCCAAGCACCGCATTTCTGTGCAGTCTATCTAGGGATGTGTCTTTGAGAAGCAGCAGCTACAAAAATCCTTTCTTTTTCTCTTCCTTGCTCTCTCACTGCTCTGAGATTACACCTTCCAAAAAAGCAGCAGGACTTGAAGTAACCTGAATTAAGACAGTGACCTCATCCAAATAAGGCCTTCAACCACCACCAACACACTCTCAGCTCATTCCCCAAACTTTATCTCCAATGCAGACTTCTCTCCTGACTGAGCTCCAGACCCAGTTGATCTGACATGGGACACCTCCACTTGCACATTCTCACAGTCATCTCAAACTTCTATGGAACATAAAGTTCATTACTCTCCTTGAACATGTGCCCTTCATTTTTTAGGGAATGAAGAGATGGAAGACACCTTAATGGAACTCTCGATCTGTCCAAAGTAGGAGATAGAGGATTTGGCTGCCAATTCAATGGAAACAGATGCTTACTAGTATAAAGCAGTGTGGTAGGAGCACATACTGAAGAAGCAAGCCTGCTTTTGGCCAGTCCCAGTGCTTGACGCCTGCATGCATTATCTCACTTAGCCTTCACAACAAGCCTGCAAGGTATCATTATTCCCATTCTGCAAGTAAGAATACAGACAGAGATTAGAATTTTTTCCAAGGGCACAAAGCAACTAAACCCAAGCATATCTGGGGCAGGGAAAAGGTTTGCACTCTTTGATACCTCCAGAACAAGGATCAGAACTTTTGAGAAGGCTATCTTAATGAAAGAACAGGATGTCAGTTGAGGAATAAGGGTGGAGTGGGGGTGACAAGGTGGCGTGGAGGGAAAGGAGTAGATGGCACTCTGGGCAGTGGGAAGGGGCCTGAAAGATAACAGAGTAGCAAGGAAACTGCAGGGTTCCCTGTAGCTGGCCCACCCCACACATGTGGAGAAGTAGCCCCTTGAAAAGCTGGAGAGGTAGGCAGGAGCCAAATCATGAGTAACCATGTGTGCCAGTCTAGTGAATTTAAATTTTAAATTCTAGACACTTAGGAGTCCTTTCAGGATTGTATTTAAAGTTTTAAAGGGACTACTTTAGAATTTAAAGGAGGCAGTGACATGAACCAGTTCGCCTTTTGGGAAGCTCTCTCTGACATTAATAACTGGCTGAAGAGAAGTGGTGACAAGGTACCTGGTGAAGACTGCAGAAGCACCCAGAGCAAGAACTTAACACCACGTTAGAAACACGTGGGAAAGTAGACAGATTTGAGAGACAAGTCACTAAATTGGCTGAGGAGAGTGAAGGAGCCAAAGACACGCAGGTGCGTGGCTCATTGCATCCTGGACACAGAAGAGGAGTTTCAGTTCTGGACATGCCGATTTTGAGACAGACCCTTGTGGGGCACCTGTAGGTAGGTGGCCAACAAGCGACTAGATGAGTCTGGCACTCAGAAGAGTAGGATCTCGAGGGTAAGAAACTGCCACCAAGGGAAACAGATGAGACAAAAAAGCCCAAAGCCCTGTTCTCTTCTCAACGTACCACTAGAAGTTACCCAGGCTTGGCTCTCAGCGTCTTAATCAACAATCACAAGGCAGGTAAGCAGCTTGGATAGAGAGGATGGGAACACAATCTCCTTCCAGAGGAAGAACAGTGTGATCTGTGACTTCCTTAGACTAGAAGAGCCCAACTTGAGAGAGATGAAGTGAAGACTCTTCAGTACCAAGACACAGCAATGCTGCTCAATCAGCTGTGTCCCAGGGCATCCATCATTCATCACAAGTGACATACCAAGCATCTGGAATCTGAGAAAAGCCTAAGTAACCCACCTACCTTTCCAGGGCTGCCCTAATTGGGAATATGGAGCCTGGGTTCCTACCCTGGAGCCCGGCTCCTCTTATCTGCCCCCGGCTCTCTAGAGAAGAAGCACACGCAGAGGTTGTGGCCTGGACTTTTTTTCCCAAATGGGGAATACAAGAGTACCAAGGAGCCAGACAACTAAACTAAACTAAACTAAAGTAAACTAAACTAAACTAAACTAGGGCTAAACTCTAAATGCTCCTGTGTAGCCTAGTGGCCTCCAAACATTTAGGTGTTTCTAGCAGGTCTGGGTGAAGACCTGAAATCCATAGGTTTTTTTCAGAGCAGCACCGCAGGTAACACTAATTTGTAGTGAGGCTTGGGAGCAGCTTTTGCAACTTCCAGCCTTTCTTACTGGTGTGCCGCTTCACTCTTCCCTAGTTGAGTAAGTATTTCCTCAAAAAGGCCAGGTCTTAACAGGGAGATTGTGGCCACCGCATCAGAGTTGGCCAGGCTTGTGATCACATCATTAGTCCAGCTCCAAAAATCAGGCTGAGGAGCAGTGCAAACTCCAGGAAGCATGGTAGAGCTGCCACAGGCTACACACTCCTGATCTGCCTGACTCTGTAAATGAACTTAGGTACCTGGTCATTTCCCCTTTGCTCAGGGTGACTTAACTGCACAAGAATTTGAGGGACACAGCATCCTATGGGTCACTAACGGAGGTCCCTGAATTTCTCACAGAAGCGGCTTCCGCAGCAGCCCTTCTCAACTCCTACTCCTGCCCACTGGCCCAAGTCCCACTCTCAACACCACACAGAAGGCTCTGAAGCAGAAGTTGCTTTAATCAAGGGGTGAAGTCCTCAGTCAGGGGGACCTCACTCAACCTTTGGTGGTGGGGTCTCAGCCTACCCCCCACACGCCCTGAGGCCCCTCAGGAAGGAGGGAGCAGCCAAACAGCGAATTACCACAGAGGTCAAGGAACGAGAACAGGAAAAAACCCAGGTCAAAGGGTGGGGATAGGACACGAGTGGGGTTGAATGGGGCAGGAGTAGCTTAACCCACATGGTTCTACCTGGGGGTTGGCTGAAGTGGCTGTGCATCGGGCAGAGCAGCACCAGGGTGCTGAGGGTTGAAGGGGACAGTGGGGCAAGGAGTGCTTAGGAGATGAGGCGCCCATGAAGTTGGTGCAGCTGCTCCTGTGTCAGCACCAGCCGGTGTCGCTGTCCAAGGCCAGCCGCACAGGAGAAGGTCACTTTGCCCATGTAGACTGTGTCATCTTGCTGCTCTTCCTTGGCCTGGGGGTTAACGAGGGGAACAGGACCCCAGGTCAGGGGCTCACTTGAGCTGTGAGTCCCTGAAGGGGTCACTGAACACTGAGACCAAGACGGCCCCTAACAGACTGAGGCTTTTGAGTCTCTAGGCCACAGTACCTAGAGAATGGGTATACACAGTCTGACAAGGAAGTTTTGAGTCTCTCTTTATATCAAAAGTCATGGAAGGTGTGTTGTCTATGTGCTAAAATAATGAAATTTCTAGAGGCATTGCAAGCACTTTTGAGTTACTTGCAAATAAGACTTGGCCAAATAACCCAGGGTGTGCAACTGCTGGACTTTAGATGCCAGAGGCCTCTTCAAATTCTGAGGTAGACAAGGAGGACCCACCCGAGCCCTCCACACTGCCCATCTTCTACCCCAAGCTCCCTCTTACCCTGAGGAAGGCTGATGAAGGGAAGGTGGCAAAGGCAGTGGGCACAGTGGCTCCAGGGCGCTGGGACACTGTCTCCTTGAGGACTTCATCCTGGGGAGAGGGAAGGGAAGACAAAGGCTCATTTCTGGGACCCCACAGGCCAGCACAGGACATCCCTGGTTTCACAGAGACACTGAAACCGAGGGAGAAGGGACTTAGTCCTATCACTATACTTTTGCTCTCACTTCCAACACCACACTTACTGCAGCCTTTCTCTTTACTTTAAAGATCCTCATTTTCCCCACTCAGTGTCTACCACTTTTGGAAGCCATGCCCATCCATTTTGCCCACAGTAATCTCAGTTGACAGAGCTGCAGACTGAACCATACCCCCTAAAGATGATCCTGCTCATCCATTTCGTTGATGAGAATATGTCTTCTGTTTGCACTGAGACTGTGACCTCCTAAGGTGAGAACTCGGCCCTTCCCTCCACCCCCTGCCTAATGTACATCAAGGACATGGCTGATCCCAGAGGAACTCTTTCCCCCAGTGAATGCTCTGGGGTGAAGTCTGGAGGGTGGGGAAGGGCAGGGTCTTAGCTGACCTTGAGTTTCTCAATGGTGTCACTCAGAGACTTGAGCTGAGCCACTTGCTCCATAAGCTGGGCTGATGGGCTCTTTGCAGCTGTGGGGAGAGAAAGCAGTAAGGCCCAGGCAGGCAGCTGTACTGGATTACAGGTCAGGCATGCAGGTACTAGACCTTCTCAGCAGGGAAGGCACATAACAGTGAGTTGGTGAACCAAGCAAACTGAACACTGAAGCCATCAAACACTACTGGGAAGAATTCCAATGGTGCAGAGACTGGTTGAGCAGGCGCTAAAATCCTGGGGCAAGGGGAGAGGGTCCGCTATTTATCTCAGGGATTGGCAGGTACGTACCAGGGCTGGCACGAGTGATATCCACTACGTGGGTGTGTGTGCTCAGCTGATTCAACGTCTCTAGCAGCTGGCTGGTCTTACGATACAGCGCCCCAGATGCCAGCTCGCTGCTGGGGCCCTCATGGGGCGGAAGCGACAGCTTTGCAACATGTAGAGGGGGAAGGGCTGCCAAAGATGCCTTCATCTGGGCTCCCTGTAGAGGAAAGAGACGGTAGTGGTAGAAGCACTAGAAGGCCCTGCCATCTAGTAGGGCAGGCACACTCCACCTCCAGGCAGCTGTCCCTGTGGCCCTCACCTTGAGGATGCTGTTCTCATGCTGGAGCTGAGAGATGTGCAGCCTCATGGCAGAGATCTGCTGAAGCAGCAGTGGTGAGTCTTTCACCAGCCCAGGGCCTGGCATGGATCCTGGAACCTGCCCAGGGGCGCCCCCTGTGGGTACCATAACAAAGGTCATCAGTCCCCAGTGGAGAGGGCTGAAAAACAGGCTCCATCTCTGTCGGGAAGTTCCCCTTTCCTCATTCCCTCCCACCTCCAATCCTGGTTGCTCCCAAGGTGGAAGCCTCAGCTTGCTGCTCCAACCCCTATTCCCATCAGCCCTGGTAACCCCCAGCCAGGGTGGTCTCTACCTCGCTGTTGTTCTTCTGTGCTCGGGACAGCCCATGGGGGAGCAGGAAAAGAAGAGAGAGGAATTAGAAGATTTAGGGGTTGGGGGACCCACCAGAGGAATTCTGGACATGACCTGCAGGAAAATCCTTTTCCTCATCACTGTCTCTAACAAGATCCTGCCTCTGTCCCCTCCCTATCTTTGGGGGAAGAACAAGTATATGTGAAAGGATAGCAAATAGGAGTAAAGTCACCCGACAGGGTATGTGGTGTTGAGAGGGTGGCAAAGTCAGTGTTGGCGGGGGGGAAGCACTGGGGGCAGGAGGCTGCACCACCTCCTCCTCCTCCCACTCCAAGAAGGGCACTGGGAGTGCTCTAGAGACCTGGTATGTCTGCACCCTTAGTGCTCACCAGCAGCAAAACTTAAGTTCAGGATGCAAATGCATCCCCTTTCTCCTGAGGCTTCCCTATGGCTCTGAGGCAAAAGCTCCCCCTCTTTTGGTGGGAAGTTTTGCAAATTCAGAACTAGTGTTGGTTCAAAGAGCCTGTGCTATAACAATAAAATGTGGTAATTCGGGAGATTCCCCCCAAAGAATACGGAGATCTCTCTACCTCGGGAGGCTCAAGCCAAGAAGGTGCTTGTTCACCTCCCAATATCCAGGGGTGCCAGTGACAGAAGTATGATGAGAACAAGACCCTAGGGGAAGTCAGCTGATGAGACACAGGAGCAGCAGGGACTGTCTAGAGGCCCTGAGGGTTTAATTCCAGGGCAAGGAGACTGTCTTCTGGAAATGAGTAGAGAGGAAATGAAGAAAGAACAAAAGCTAACTACAGGCAGATGATAACCAAGATGGCAGCAGCTACTGCCTTACTCAGGAAAAGTGGGAGAATGCGTCTGAAAAACTCCAGGTAAAGAGCCTGACCGTACTGAAGTGCCTAGGCCAAAGTCAGAAGAGAAGCCCCCAAGTGAGACTGGGAAAACTCAGCAATGGAGGAGGCAACTGTGCACACCACAGGATGAAGCCACGTGAACTCTGGGGGAACACAGTGCCCCAGCAGAGGAATGATGAAGATAGGCACCAGGCAAGGCTGGATGCCCCGGAGAGCTGGCACAGCCTGTGCAGGCTGACAGCCCTCTGGGATACAGGGTGAGGCAGAAAGGCCAGACTGTAGACTCAACAGAGATATCTCCTAGAGTATAGCTGTTGTTATTCAGAGCTGCATTGATAACTTGGTAGTGCCCCACTTTTGTTAGAGGGACTCATCATATACCTTTGGGGAAAAGGAAAACCTGCTAGGCCAGTGCCACGGCTCAATAGGCTAATCCTGCGCCTGCAGCGCTGGCACACTGGGTTCTAGTCCTGGTCGGGGCACCGGATTCTGTCCTGGTTGCCCCTCTTCCAGGCCAGCTCTCTGCTGTGGCCAGGGAGTACAGTGGAGGATGGCCCAAGTCCTTGGGCCCTACACCCGCATGGGAGACCAGGAGAAGCACCTGGCTCTGGCTTTGGATCAGTGCAATGCACCGGCTGCAGCGCACTGGCCATTGGAGGGTGAACCAATGGCAAAAGGAAGACCTTTCTCTCTGTCTCTCTCTCTCACTGTCCACTCTGTCGAACAGTAATTATAAAAACATAAAATCCCTGCTGAAAGTACATTCCTGGCTGAACATCACAGGCAAAGGGGATAGAAATCAAAGTGACATCAAGGACAGTCTATCTCCTCTGGGCAGTGCTGCCCATCCACTGTACTCACCACCAGCAATACCAGACACCAGGGTAGCAATGCCTGAGGGCGGAGGCCCCCGGAGCCCCTCGATTGTGCGCTTGGACTGGCTGTTTAGCCGCTGCTTTAGCTCTGCCTTTTCTGCCTCCAGCTGGTCGATGTCAGCCTGGAGTGCATCCATTGTCTCCTCAAAGTCTCTGTGAAAGAGCATCTAGGCTTCAGCAGGGTCCCTTCCCCATGTCCCCAGCCCAGGTTGTCAGTCCTGACATGTCCTTGCAGTGACTCTGTTAGTGAGAATCCGGGGGCAGGCAGCACAGGCCTAGGCTGGGATGATATGATGGGGAAGGAAGATGGGGAGAGTCTCACTATAAGAGGGCTTGGGTAGGGGGACAGGTCAGGAGGAGAGAGCCACAGCAGGAGGGAAGGCGGGAGGAGGCAGGGCCCCAAGGACGGTGCCTGACTTCTCCTTCTTCCGCAGCAGCGCCTGGGTCTCCTCCAGCCGAGTCTGGACTTTCTCGATGCGCTCGTCTGCATCCTTGGCAGCACTGTCCAATTTCTTCTCCAAGAGGCTCAGCCGCACATTGGCCTCACTCAGCTCCTCCCCCTGAACAAGGACAGAGAGCTTCGAGTTCCCTGACAACCCCCGCCCCCCACTGCTCCTGGGACCTGGGCCAGGCTGTAAGATAGAAGCTCTCTTGGGACTCTAGTGACTAGAGTCCTGATTGCAGGCCTCATTTTTCCCCTCGACCTCCAAGTTTTCTGTCTTGATCCCCAATACTTTCTGGCCCCCCAGGCCCTGAGCCCAGTCTACTCTCACCTTAATCTTGAGTGACTTCTTCAACTCCTTGATAACAGTCTCTCGATCCTCGAGCTTCAAACCCAGGCCTTCGGCATCTGTGATCTCTGCACGAAGGGCTGCAGCCCGCAGCTCAACCGGGGGAGGCTAAAAGAAGGGGTAGGGCAGGAGAAAAGCTTATTGATGTGCTCATTTCAGAGGAAAACCTTGTCTTCCATGAACAGTGCTCTCCAGACACCTGCCCCCTGCCTCTCTGCCCTCCCACAACCAGCAGCAGCTCTGCAGGTGCTGCTCCTCCAGGCTGAACGAGCCGCCAAGAAAATCTCCACCCACCTTGCTGGGGGGCCGCTCTGCGTCATACTCGCCCTCCTGCATGGCTGTGGCCAGCTTATTCATGGTACTGATGAGGATGTTGCACGACTGGCGCAGGCACTCATAAGGACTGCTGGAGGGGCTCCCATAGATCTGCAGGAGCCAAGGAAAGGAGTGAAGCCCCACATTAGCTGACTTCCTGACACCCTTCTGCCCAGTCATCCAGGTTTACCTGCTCGCTTGCTTTGAAAGCCAGTTCCTCCAGGGCAGCCACCAGCAGCCCCTCATTTTCCGCCAACGGGGCAATGAGCTGGGCAGCAGCAGCTGCCACCTCCTGCAACACAGCTACCACCCACGTCAAGTGTTTCCTGCAGTCCAGGAGTGTGTCGGACACCTATGTGACAGGCCAAGAGTCAGGAACTCATCCTGGGTCCAGTACCACAGTTCCCAGCTACACAAAACCCATTTTTGTTTCCTGACCGCATCCAGATCTTAATGTGCTATATGGCCCTTCTGGTTCTATTCAGCTTCCTTCCCTTCCCCACTAGCAGCCCTAAACCTGTGGTCCAAAGGCCAGCGCAGCTGGGATCCCAGGAGCATCAGTCCCCGGCATTCGCCTTCGGATCTTCTTGCAGAACTGTCGGATGTCACTGCACGATGTCTCCAGGTCCCGGAGCAGGAGGGCGATATCTGTAGCCTCCTGTCCACTCTTCTCAGCAGACAGGAAATGGACAGGAAACCAAGTCAGTAATTAAGGCTGAGTGTGAGAAGGTGAGAACTAGGCAAGAGGAAGAGCTCACACAGATCTACATGTGCTCTCACCTGCAGGAAGGCACGCAGCCGTCCTACCTCCACGCTCATGCAGTCAAGGGCGCTCTGGGTGAACTGAGGACAGAAACATGTGCTTTAGCCCCTAACAGGAGCCCTTCTGCCCCATCATAATTCCTAAGAAGGCAATACCCTCTTTTCACCCCAAACATAAGTGAGTCCTCTGGCTTCCCTGATCTGGCTTTGGTGACCATGCCTGAAGGGGCCAAATCTCTTGATCTTTGTCCTCTATTTCTGAGCTCTACTGGAGGCTTAACCACCAGCCCAGACACTGCACCTTGATGTGGTCAGCCAGCTGTAGGGTACAGTCCTCAGGCTGCTCAGCAAGATGGATGCTGTACAGATGCTAAAGAGAGATAAGGAAGAAGAGATAACCATTAGCCCCTGGAGGAGTAGGGAGTTCTTCCCAAAATGTAGTTTCATTTCTGGGTATCATGGGTCTCCAGAGGTACAAGAGAATTCAGAGGTAGAAGCAGCTGCATCTTTAGGCAAGTTCATGTAACAGCAAACCAGGCCTCAAGAACCCAGCCAGGGTCACAACTACATGGCGATGGCCTCCATTAGGGGAAAGCTTCCCTCCCTTCTGTCCCAAGCCTAAATTCCTGCCCCAGACCTGGTAGTACTTGATGGCCTTGGTGAGAGGCTCCACGTTGACAGTTTCATCCAGCTGATCCTTATGTAGCAGCTCAATGAGGAAGTCCAAGGAGCGCTCATGGGCACTCATCTCAGGGTAGAGGCTGCCCACCTTCTTATACACATCCACGCTGCACTGAGAGAGGGCACTAGAGACCAGAGAAGGGCTCTGTGAGGCCAAGGTCAGCCAGGCAACCTCCGTTCCAGTCAGTCCTGCACCCATGGTCCTGGAGTGCGGGGCTCAGGAGTCACTTACTGCTCATAGCGGTGTAGTGTAGCCTGCAGAAGACTCAGTGAGTACACCAGCCCGGCAGCAAAGCTCAGCTGCTCCCCAGCAGCTCCACGCAGCCCAGGCCGCTCTGAACAGTTCTCACTCAGTTCAAACTTCTCCTGGGCCTGCTTCCGGATCAGCTCTGCCTGTGGGAAGAAGACCAGGGCCTTGAGACTCAGAGCAGAAGATGGAGAACATAGACTCAGGAACACACAAGGCACAGAGTCTAACAATTGGTCTCAAATGGGGAGCATGGACACATGGGAGAGAAAGAAAAATAGCTCTGAGACAGGCAGGGAGTCTTGCAGTGGGCAAGGCTAACCATGTGACTGGCAAAGCTTGTGAGGACTTAGGATGTGAGAATGAAAGGGCACTGAGACTAGTGGGACCAGGCTCTTCCCTGGCTTAAGGGAAGGCTTGCTCCTGCTGTCTCTCAGGCTAGAATGCTAAACCACCACTTATCCCCTTGGCTAACAACTCCCAGTCACCTTTCTATTCCTCAGCTCCGATGTTACTCCTTCAATCATATCCTGCCCCCATCTAAATCAGCTTCCTAATTGTGCTCTCCCAAAGAGCATACAGAATTTGTAACACGGTCAGTCATCCCTGGGTATCCACGGGGGACTGGTTCCAGGACCCCTCTCTGATAATAAAACCCACACTTACTCAATTCCCTTATATAAAATAGTATAGTATCTGCATATGACCTACATATATCATCCTATAGACTTTAAATTATCTCTAGATTATTTATAATACCTAATATGATATAAATGCTTTGTAAATAGTTGTTAACACTGTATTGTTCAGGCAATAATGACAAGGAAAGAAGTCTGTATGTGTCCAGTACAAGCTCAGTTGCTTTCTCCTTGAATATTTTTGAGACACAATTGGCAGAACCCACAGGATATGGAGGGCTGACTGCATTTATTCATCTGTGACCTTGCTAACTGTAATCTTCCACTACCTCATGAACTCTGTGAGCAGAAACACTGACTGCAGTCTCCACTTGGCACCATCAACGACCAGCTCACAGCCAGTCCAACTGATTTCTGCTGAACATGTGAGTGATTGGCCATACCTTGCAAATGAGACGAGGCATAAGCAGCAGTACCAGGACGCAGTCATGGTCCCCACCTGGCCGAAGGAAGCTGTCTGGCATGAAAGCTGTCAGCAGGGACATGTGCCGATTCGCCTGGGCAACCTCCATCTGCCTTAGTTCCATCTCAATTGCCTGCGAGGTGGAAAGGGAAGAAGGCTCTCAGCTAGGTTGGGGAGAGTCTCAGAACTCCCAGGTCTTGCTCTTCCGGGTCCCTTGTTTCTAGGACAAGCCCAGGCTGGGAATCTTCCAAACCACTGCACAAAGCACTTCTTCCCCAAGGATACTGAAGCCCACACCAGGTCAGCCCACAGCCACGCTCAGGCTGAGCTTCTGTACACCCTGCTCCTGACCTTGGCATGGGCCTTGGTCTCAGCAAATTTGATTTTGAAGTCAAAAGTCTCTGGAGGTGGCTGCTGCTGCCTCTCCACAGATGCTTCCTGCTGGTTGGTCAGCTCCCGATTCACATCCTGGGAGTAGAGACAGTGACACACAGCTGGGTCATGTGGGGGTCATGAGGGGGCCCTGGGGTGATTGCCATGGGACAGCAGAGGGGTAGCAGGCACCTGAAGATGGGCAGTCAGCTGGCGGTACTTCTTGATGGTCTGCTGATAGTCTGCAACTGTCTCCTGGGCTGCTTCCACACGCTTCTGGGCCTCACGCACTCGGGCGCCTGCCATGTCCAGCTGCTCCCGCAGCTCCAGTTCTGTCTCACGTGCATTCTCCTGCAGCTCATCGTTCATCTCATTCATCACTTCCTGGGACACCGCAAGGTTGTTGGGGCAAAGGAAAGGCAGGGTCAAGGTAGGGGAGTCAGGGTGACTCCCCTCACCACATACCCTGCTCAAAGGTCAGGGGTCATGTGTCTGCCTCTCTCAGCAGGTTCCTTGCAAAAACTTTCCAACAGGGTCTGAAGTCAGAGGTCTGCTCTTCTCTTACCAAGTCCCCCACAGTCTCCCTCAACTCCCGCACTTTCTCCTCCAGATTCAGGTTGCGGTCTGTCAGCATCTCCACCATCTCCTCGGCGCCCAGAGCAGCATCCACCTGCGTTCGAGGGAGGGAACAGGGTGAAGGGCTGCAGGAAGGTGCCCGAAAAAGGAAGCACCAACAGGAGGAGATGGGGGCTGGGATCCCTGACCTGCTCCTTGAGCTCATCGATGGTGCTCTCCGCCTGGCTCAGCTCCTCCTGCAGACGCTCACGCTGCTGCCGCACCACTTCCAGCTCTTGGTTCTTCTTTTCCATGAGCTTCTGGAGCTTCACATGCTCCTGCTTCTCAGAGGAGGAAAGATCCCGCATCCTGGACGGGAGAGGGGAGGAGAGAAGGGTACAGCGTGTGTCAGTCAGGTGATGGGTGCTCTAGCGCAGGTGGAGACAGGAGAGGGCGTGCGGACAAGCAGAGGGAGGACCCTACCTCACCAGGGCATCCTTCAGGCGGGCATTCTGCTCCTCTAGCTGCTTGAGCTGATAGCTGGACGCAGCCCCATCCGAGCCTGGAGGAGACCATTAACACTTTCAGGCAAGGCTCTCATGCCACCATTTGGCCCCCCGCAGCTTGCAGGCTCTTACCCTTCTCTTCAATCTCAGCCTTGAGGATCTCCAAGTCAGTGGTGAGCTCGTCGACACGCTCCTTCAGTGCCTCCACCTCTTGCTGCAGAGACTCAGCCCGCTCTTCAGCCATCTCCTTGTCCAGAGTGGCCATTTCGATGGCATCAGCAGTGTCAGCCATCTCCTCCATGTAGCGTTCCTTTGCCTCCAGAGCTTCCTTGGCTTCCTGAGGAAAGAGTGGAAACAGGTGGGAGTAGAAACACAGAGAAGACCCATGTTACCCTTTATCACGGGTTCAGTTTCCAGCATAGCCCTTCGGGTCCCTCACCCTCCCCAGCCACCCCCTTCACTCCAAGGCCCACCTTCCGTGCCTCCTTGAGGCGCCGCTGCAGGTCCGCCTGCTGCTCCTGCATTTTGCTCTTCCATTCCTGCACTTGTTCTAGCTGGATCTTGTGTTTCTCCAGCTCTTTTAGCTTTGCCTTGTCTTCTGCCCGTTTCAGGCGCAGGGTCTCCAATTTCTCCTCCAGGTCCCGCACCTGGGCCCTCAGTCCCTCTTCTTCCTGCAAAGGAGCAGCTCTGTGGTCTATGCACAGCCTACCCAACCTCCCTACCAAGAATGAACTAGAGAAGAGTAGACAAGAATGTGTACAAACATCACCCCAGCCCCATGGTCAAAAGCAAGTGGCATACAAACTCCTGAAAGGATAAGTCTAACAGAAGGGCAGGAAGGGAAAGTGTACCAAGTAGCAAGATATCATATGCCATGTCCCCACTCTTTCTGATTTAAGTTTTGGGTCTTCTCCAACCCCAGGAAGTTTCCAAGACCACCCAGAGGTCACAGGCCCTTGGTGTCTGGATTCTCCTTCACTCCAACCCCAGTGCTTACCTTGGAGGGGGAAGGAAGCGGGGGTGCTGTTCCAGGAGAAGTGAGGGCCGGTGTTGGGATGATGGGTGCTGCCAGCGGAGTCTGAGCTGGGGTGCTGGGCTCACTGCTGCTCAGCTCACCTGCTGATGCTGAGCCAGAGGGACCCAAGGAACTACTGGCCCCAGACACCCCGGTACTAGCTGGGCGGGTGGGCTATTCAGAGAGGGTAGGGGCAGACCACAGAGAGAAGAGAGGACGTGAGATGGGAAAGGGAGAGAGAGAATATGACAATAGAAGGACACAGAGAAGGAAACAGGCAGAAACAGAGTATGAAAGCACAATGAGAACAGAGAGTGAAAGGGACAGGGAAAATGACACAAAGTCACAAAGAGACAGTAACAAAGGACAAGGGTGGGGGGAGAATAGAAGGAGACATAAGATTATAAGGCTACTCCCTTGGTACTTACCCCACATTCCTCCCAACTCTGTCACTATCTTTTACAGCAGAATCTCTTACTCCCCAGAAAACTCCCCTCTGTGACCCACTTGTGATCATTCTAATAATTTCTTATTATTCCCAGTCCCATCCTTGCTCCAGGTCTATTCCTTCCTTTCCAGGGAGGAAAAGTGCCTCCCTCAATGTCATTCCCAGAAAGAAGATATGAGCGTTTGCTCCCTTTCATGTTCCCAGAGAAAGCTGGGCTAAAGAAGTGGTGCAAAGCTCTCTACCCCTGAAATGCCCTCCTTACTCTTTGGCCCTCCATTGCTTGTTCTATTTCAGGGGGCTTTATAGGTAAAGGGGTCAAGGTAAGAGTTCTACCCCTGGACTCTAGCATAACAACATTTGTACCACCAACCTTCTGTCACCTCCCTCCCCCAAGACTAGGAGCTCCTAATGAAGGAATATGACTCAGGCCCCTGGGGAGCTGCCCTAAAGCCCCAGCCCCTGGCGTGGACAGGCCTGGCCAGTGCTCTCTCAATCAAGGCTGAGCCTGGAAGCTCTCCAGCTGGGCTGACACTCAGACAATGCACTACCCAGAGGCCCCTCCACCCAAAACTTTTCCCAGATGCATTCACCTCCTCACCCCCTGACATTTTACACTGCCAAGTTCTTCACCTCTCTTCCAATCCCTCCCCGCAAAACTGGTCAAAAGTCTTTGTTCAAGAAAGTCTGCCTTCATTAACCACAACTCTTCTCACTTCTCTTTTGCACTCAAGCTATTGGCTTAGACAATCTCCTAAGAGCTGGAAGTCATTTTCCCGGGAGCGGCCTATCACCACTGCAAGGCCCTGTTCCCCCTCAAAGAGAATCCAAGATGCAGCGCCAACTGCTCCTTGCTGTGCACACACACCCACACACATGCACATGCCTGAAATGTGTGTACACACTCAGAAGCTTGTGTAGAAACCTGTTTTTCTCACCTTGGGCCGCCGAGTTGTGGTCTGGACAGGCAACAGGAGCCAGAGGAGAAGTAGTCAGGAAAGACAGGATAAGGGCAGAAAGACAGACAGCAAAGGGACAGTGGTGAGAGGAGAAGTAGTACCAGGAATGCAGCTACAGTGAGCCGCCACCACCACCACCCGTCCACCACCACATCCCACTTCCTTCTCCCTCCAGGGAATCCCCATCCTCCTCCTCCAGGACCCTAAAACTTCAGTTTCCCTTGCTTCCTGCTCCCATTTTTGCCCAAGCCGTTCAGGCCTCACCCCTGTAGACACCCTGGAGATCCCAGAAGTCCTGGTCTCCTAGGCTGAGCCACGGGACTCCTAGGGCAGCAGCTGGTGAGGTCTCCAGAGACCAATCCTTCAGGGAACAACCTCTCCCACTCCAGCCCAGAGCCAGAGGCTCCGCCCAGCTGCCTCTCCCAAGGACTTTCCCAGGTCAGCTTCCTCCTCCAAGTGTTAGACTCCATGGAGGACTCCCTAGAAACCCCTAGTGACAAAAGTAATATGAGCCCAGAAGTGGGAGATCAGATCCCTATGGCAGAACAACACCACTGTTCCCCACCCCACCCCCCCACCCCCAGGACCAGATACTGCAGTAGGCCCCAGCCCTTAGGCAGAGGGCTCAGGTGTCAGGACTATGAATATTGCATTAGCAGAAGCTCAGAGCTCAGCAAAGTAACCCCACCCAGCTGTACAAAAGGAGGTGGGGGTGGGCAGCAGCAAAGAGAAATGACTGCCCTAAATCAAATCCAGAACCATTTGGGTTACTGCAAAGTAGAAAATGGATGCTTAACTCCAACTCCCAAATAGCATTCATGCTACCCAGGTGGTTCATTGCTCTGGCAGATACAAGATTTGGCTTGGGCTCTGTTTCCAGGAGTCCCCGAGCCCATGGAGATCAACCAATCCCTCACCCCTCCTGCCCTGGAATATACTTCCATAGATGTGGGTCACAAAGTATCGCAGGGTCCCAATCCCACCTGCTGAAGCTCCCAATACAGACCCTGGGGGAGCAGGGATGCCAGAACAACCAGCAGCTGTTCTAGCTAAGGTTGGCAGATACACAGGCCTACTAGAGACACTGAGACACCTGCTTCCCCCATGGTCTACCACAGGAAACTCCCCCAGGGCCACTCTGCAGTAAAGGCTGCCTGAAGCCCAGGCCTGTGAGGCCACTAGGTACAAGGCCTAGAACACACACTCAGAGCTAAAAGCAGGCAGGGCAGAGCGCAAACGCCCAGGGCGTGGAGCAGGGTGGTGACACACACCTCCCCCTACCCTCCACCTCCTCCTCACATCCTCCCCAAACCAGGTAGACAGATGAAGTCAGTGAGCCCCCAACCCCCACCCCAGCAGCCTGCTGCCACCATCGCCCTGGCAACCCGGCAGCAGGACTAGAGCAAGCAAGAGTACCTTTCGGGCTGTCGGTGCCTGTCTCATCATTGCAGAAAACCAAAGAAAGCAAGGAGAAGAAAGAGAAGGAGGGACAGAGGAGGATAGACAAACACAGGGAGGAAAGACAGACGAAGGGAGGGAGGGAAAGAGACCGAACAGAGGGAAAGGCGGCGGAGACAGGAGATTAGTGCATCAAATCCCAACAATGCAGCCTCAGCTTCCTGGCCGGCAGTTTCCCAGCCTGCAAACGGCTGTCGCTCTGACTCGGGCCCCTGCGGGTGCTCAGCTAGACGGCCAGGCTCCGGCAGGCACCGGAGCGGTGCCCGGCCCAGTTCGCCAGCTTAGGCTGATGGCAGCCTCAGTGGCCGCAGCACCAGCTCCACCTGACGTCATGCACCCACCCTCCTCTGCTCCTCGGGGGTGGAGCCACTGCTCCTCAGTCACCTAGCAACCGCCCAGGGCTCTGCTGGCTCCTCCTCCTCCTCCTCATGACTGGACAAAGTCCTGCGCAGAGCCCACCCCGCTTCCTCCGCCAATGAACGGGTTCTGGATCTGCCTCTCCCCACCCACTGCCGTTACCTGAGTTTGCTCCCAAAAAATGGGCAGGGGCCACCCCAGAAATGGCACCTATGAGGCCAGGGCTTCACTGGACAGGGACACAGAGTCTCCCTGCTCCCTCAGTTTCTCTTATACTACATTTTCTTCCTCCCACAACCCCTTCAACACCACTTCTCTTAACACACACTGATACCAGACTTAGAGTCTCATCATCATCAGGCACACACTGGGAGCACCCCTCCAGGGCTTCAGCTCTGAGCAGAGTGAGAGAGAAACCCTGGGGAACAGTCCATCGGGGCCCCAGCAGCTCTAGTGATGGCGCTGGGCTCCTCTTCCAATGGTGCCTTGTTGTAGACAGGGTAAAGCCTGCCTCTGGACACTCTGCAGAGACATCTGAGTTCTCCTCCACTCTCCCTAAGTTCAGTGTGTACTCTGGAGCCAGCTCCCTGCTCCATACAGAGTGACAGCAAGAGGGGCGCCTGACTACTTGACTGACACTGTCCACCATGAGCAGAGAAGGTTCTGTAGCCCACCATGAGCAGCCTAGGCTGGGCTTTGCCGTGTTTCCCTAGGCAGCTGCCAAAGCCCCAGCTCACAATCAGGTCAGGTGCAACCAGAACCTCTCCACAGAGTAAGGTTGCAGTTTCATGCTCTTCTCTATTTAGGGGTCTGAGACGAGATGGGAGCCCCAACCAGGAGAGAACAATCCAGGGATGCAGCCAAGTTTCTATAACTGTGGAATGGGACATAATTTTCCTTACATCCCTATTCCCACCCCCAGCCAAGACCCAAAGCAAGTACCAGCATTTTGTTTCTACAATGGCAAGACTCCAAAGTGAGGCCCTATCACCAACCAGAAGTCATGATGTCAGGAGATGTTTTCCTTCCCCCTCCCACTGCCCCAATCCAGCAGTTTTCCATGCAACATCAGAAAGGTTGGAGACAAGGAGATCACAGTACTTTGTACGCACAGCACCATAAGTACAGGTCAGACAGGCACATGCAGGTCACAGACAACTCGGGCAGAGGCCCAAGGCAGGAGCTGGCGTGAGGAAGTGGTCATGGCAGCAATTTAAGAGTCTTTAAAAGTTATGGCAGGAAGGAGAAGGTAGCACAGTTGAGCTCCACTCCAGTGACGGTAGACAGAAGGCTGCAGGGGTGGGAGGTGGGCCTTGGGTACCCCAGAATGAAGGAGAAGGCAGAGTGGGGTGGGTATTCACAATAGAGCCCACCTAGAAGTAGGCACACAAGGACTCAGGCTTTCCAACTCAGGACTTTCTTCCGGTGCTGTTTCCTGACTTCCTGTCTCCTTGCACGAACACCTCCCCCTACTCAGTCCTCCCAAGGTCCCCCAACCTCGGGCTGAGAACTCAGTGTAGCCCAGTAAATGTTCTAATTCATGCTGTTGCTACTTACAGTCATATGCTTGACATCTCTCACTAGGAGTCCTAGGGCAGAGGGAACCATTTCTAATGAGTGCCTCCCAGGGTCTGGACACTGAGCCCGACTGATGTCCTTGTATCCCTCAAAGGAACTCTGAAAGTCACAGCTGCCATTTCCTCAGGTCATCCCAGCCTCAAAATGACATGCACATGCATGCAGCAGCCCAAGGACATGCAGGACAGCTTGGGAGGGGGCTCCGGGCCCCCACCGACCCAGGCACGGAGAATAAACACACCACCTTCTTAGGCTTCAGTCCCCGCTGCATGAGGAGTAGGAAAGGGCAGAGTTAGAGAACAGACCTCACACGTGCTGGCTGGCCATACATCCTGGGAGTAGGCGTAAAGAGCAACTGGGGCACACACAGGTAAGGCAGGGGGACTCACGTCACTGTCAAGCCCTGAATAAGCGAGTTGAGGGATTTCTCAATGATCAGCTTCCAGGATGGCCACACCTTGACCCAGAGAAGCTGCATAGTCTAGAGCCCCACCTCTCATACTCTTCTTCCTCTACCTTCTACCTGAACCTATCCTCAGGCCCTTTTCAGCATTTGGAGTACCAAGAGGTAGAAGTTGGCTACACTACTGGGATCCTTCCTATCACCCCTAGTTTAATACCATTTGATCCTGAACTTCTGGCACCTAATAGGTTTCCCTGCTATCACCTGTACTCTAGCCCTAATGTAGCAACTCAGAAAACTTCTTTCTCAGAGGCTAGAGAGATTAACTCGATTCAAACTCACTCACTGCTCCTACCTGCCTGGTGTTGAGTCTCCCACTTCTCTTTCTCCTTTGTACCCCACTTTCTCTCTCTATTACTACCCCCCCACCCTCCAACCACTCACCAGTTTGCTAGTCTTTGCGGTTCCTTCAGCTCCCTCTGTAGAAAGCAAACAGAAATAACATTGTGTCTGCATAGATGGCTAGAGGCAGAGAACATTATGGTGGATGGGAGGAGCCATAACAACGGAATATGGTGGTAACGGGACAATCTCAGTAAGCCTTATGGCCCATGGTATAAGGGAGAACTTATAGCCCTGGGAACTCCTAGATATGGGGAGGTGATTTAAGTGGGTGGTAGTTACCTCTTTTGAGGACCTTTGTGGCAGAAGAGTCCGGTGTCTCTGGGGAAGTAGTATCTGCTCCATCTTCAAATACCTGGATCTGAGGCCACAGAACAGACTCTATACAGCTAGCAAACAATGGCTGTAATAAGGGCCCCTCCCTAGCCCCAAAAGAACCAGGATACAGAGAAGCTTCTCCAATATTTCTTCCTCTGCTACCTCCCACTCTCCCAACCAGAGGCTTATGCCCAGGCCCAGGGAAAGGAAGTACCACCACACCAGCTGCACAAGCAACAGAAATGTACATACACACGTGCATACACCACACACACACACACACACACACAGAGGAGCAGGGCATGAGTACCTGCGACTGACGCACAAAGATGCCATGCCCTTCTTCACAAGTGAAATACTTCCTGCCTTGGACAGTTCCATCATTCTTGCCCTTTGCCTCATCCAGGATCACGCCTACCCATTTGCCAGTGGCAAAGAGAGTGGCTCCAACATAGGCCACTGTGCCTCGGTGGCCTTTTCCAATCACTTCCACACGGGAGCCCACGCGCAGAGGCCGGGCACTTGCCTCTGCACTCATCCTGCTGCCACTGGGAGTCTGAAAGAAAGGAAACATAACAAGCATACAGCCAGAGGAGTCAGGTCAAGGGTATCATCCTCATGCACAAGAAATGCCCCACTAGCGCTCTGGCATAGTGGGTTAAGCTGCTGCCTGTAGTGCCAGCATCCCAGATGGGCACCGGTTCGAGTCCCAGCTGCTTCACTTCTGATCCAGCTCCCTGCTAATGTGCTTGGGAAATCGGCGGAAGATTACCCAAGTGCTTGGGCCCCTTCACCTACATGGAAGACCTGGAAGAAGCTCCTGGCTTCAGCCTGGCCCAGCCCTGGCTGATACAGCCATTTGAGTACTGATTCAACAGATGGAAGATCTCGCCCTCTCTATCTTTCCCTCTCTGTAACTCTGCCTTTCAAATAAATAAAATAAGTGTTAAAAAAGAAAAGAAATGCCCTAGCCAGGGTCCTGAGCCCCATCTCAGGATGAGGTGAGACCCCAAAATCCCCTTTGAAAAATGCCAGTAGTGTATTCGAAGACTTCTCCAAATTTCTCTGGAACCTGCTAGAAATTTTAATTTTGTATTTTGATTTCCTAACAATCAGAATTCACTGACATACCTGGGAATGTCACCACATGGCTGCTTGCTCAGGAGCACTGCCCCCAAGGAGAAAAATTAAATGCAAGCAAATAACTCAGTTTAGACTAGGGTCCCCTCAAGTCACTGCCCTGACTCAGGAGCCTGAGCTGAGAAGACAGGCAAATCGGAGGGTGATCCTACTGAATCCTGTTGCCCTCTCCACTGTCACCTGCCTTCTCTATGATTCAAATGGCTCTCTCAGTGCTGCCTTCCAGGCTCTCAAATCACCTCTATTTCTCTCCGATGTGACTCTCACTGACATCCACATAACCACCGTGACACTCCTGGATGCCTTACTGCAGCCCATTCAACCACCCAGCTCCCTTCTTCCTGGCCTGGGTCCTGTTCTGTCACTTTCTACCCTCAAGCTCTGGGAATCCTTCCTGCATGTTATATTGCTGTAAAACAAGAAACATGGGCCTAGTAAAGTGGGTGCCTCAGATCTATTCCTCACTCTGCCCCCCAGACTCTAGTGCTCCTACTGGATGGCTTATCAAAGCACTGTCCAGACCAAGACACTGTCCTTGGGTAACTATCAGCTTCTGACACACCCATGGTGACAGGACATAACATGAAATTAGGTCCCAAATAGGCCCATGGTTTAGAAGAAAATCACACCTCAACCATTTTTAGCAATAGCACCTCCATGAACCAAAGGCCTTGTAGGAAACAAATGAACAGGGGAGAAAGAAGTGACACCATGATCCTAAAGATTCCATGGGGCTCCCTCTGATACCCCACCCCCCATCATCATCAGCTTCAGGATGGAACACTGCCAGAGCCAGGGAAGAGCTGGGATACTTCCCACCCGGTCACTCCCTAACCCCCTCCCCAAAAAGCTTGACAGGAAGTTGAAGATAAGGCTCCCAAGAGCTCTGGGATCCCACATCAATCACATCTGGGACAGCAGAGCAGTTCTCATGGACCTGACAATGAAAGGAATCACAGTGACATCAGGACTACCCTCAAACTCAGAGACATCGCCCACCCCACCCCCCAACAAACCTCCTAGAATCAGGTAAATATAACAGAGGGTACAGATTCGATCTCACAGAGAAGAGAAAGCAAGTGACAAGCAACAAAGCGGTTCTAAAGAAAGGCTTCACTGTAAGCCCTTTCCGACCCTTCAGTCCCATTCTGAGTCCCCAACATGGTCTGGCCGCCTGCAGGAACCCCTGGCCTGAGAGCTGATTGGAGTCAGAAGTCAGGCCTTGCCAGTCCCTGTTTAGGGCCCAACTCTGGAAAAGGAAGCCAGTCCAGATCACTACCAGCAGCGCTCTGAGGACTCCCCCACAACACTGTGAGTGCCCAGCTGAGTTCCAGCCCCTCTCCCCAGCCCCCACAGCAACAATGTCCACAGGCACCCAGGCCTTCCCCAGCAGCCCTCCCAGGGCCATCCCAGATTAGGGCCACTTACCCGGCTGTACACGTGCCTCTTGCTCTGGGCCATGTTGCTTACCCAGCCTCAACCCCCTCCCCCAGCTGGCCAAAGACAGAGAGAAAAGGCAGAAAGCTAGGCAGGAGGGTCAGGGCGCTGGGCCCTCATGGACAGACACAGGAGCCGGCAGGCACGGCCTTCCCCAGTCCATGAGCCTCACTTCGGCAGCCTACCGGGGTAGGGGTGGGGGTGGTAATGGGGGCCGAGGATCAAGTCCCCCTGCTGCCCGAGGACTCCTGAACCCAGAGACACTGAATCCTGCTTGCCAGCTGATGAGTCTCACTCTGCGCTAGTGCTGCTCTAGACTTGTCAGGATCTGTGCTCGCCTCTGGGTCCTAGTGCCCCCCTGCTTCACCTGAGCCAGACAAGAAGGGCAGGAACCAGGGGCTGGGCCCACGCCACAGATAATCAGCACCTACCTCTACAGTACACTGTCCTAGGACTGGGACCACAGTCCTGACAGATCCTCTTAGTCTACAACCCCTCCCATCACTGTACCCCCCCACCCACAGGGTGTGAGGCCCACAGGCATCAAGTGACACTTCAAAATGATCAGCTGCCTAGGGCCTCCACAAATGAGGGTCTCTCACCCTCCCCTCTGGCTCTCTTCCCTCCCCTCTCAGGATTCAGGCCCATGTGATTAGGATCTGAATTTCAGGGTCTAGGACAGCCAGGCTCTACCCATAAACAGCCAAGGAAGGGCAGTAATGGAAGCAACCTAATGCACATAAAGGCAGATACCACACGCCCCCTTGCTGGCAGAGGCCATCACTGTCAGTCCTCCTGCTTTCCAGCTGTTACAAAGGGCCAGGTTCTGGACCCAAGACTACCAGATTCCACTGGATTACTCTGGGCAGTGCTCAAAAACAGAGTCTCACGTTCCCCTTCAGCACAGGCCCAGTCCATCTTTGCCACTGCCCTTTGTACTCCTGGCCTTGATTTCTAGCTTCTCAGATCCAATGAGATGACTTATTTTCTATAATTCTGTATTTCACAAAAGTTCCCACATTAGTTTTATAATTCATTTTTTTTAATTTAACAAGATTTTTATAAATTCTAGTGTGAGGTCTCCAAGGGGCTATGTAACAATACCAATTCATTCATTTAGCCATCTGTCATGGGCCAGGAACCAAGAACCAGAGTTCTTGCCCCTTATGTAGCCAAAAAGGTTAAGGTTGGCCTGGGGTCCGACATAGCTCCACTGGCTGCAGTGTGGATCTAGATCCCCTGGGCCTGGGGCCATCTGTCTTTTCTGCACTGGGCTTCCTCCTCTGGCAGAATAGTGACTTTCCCAACTGTACCCTCTTTCTAAGGCAGGCCACAGAGTCTGACACAATGACAGCCAACAACCATGGTCACAAAACACCTCTCCATATCTTCAGTCTCTGTCAGACTCCCTGGGTCTTCCCTAGGAAGCCATTTCTCTCCTCCCCCGGAAAACCTCTACATTGCCCCTGCCCTCTCCTTCCCCATTTTACACAGGTGGGCAGGGCCATGCAGGTCCTTACAGCCTGGAACCCTACATTCAGAGCACTGTAGAGTCTACAGAGCAACCTAAAAAACGTCACTTCATAGTACCATGATGAAGAGTGCTGGTTCTAGGTTCTGGCTGCTTTCCTGGCTTTATCATTTGGTAGCTACATAAACCTAATCCAGTTACTTAGCACCTCTGTGCCTCAACTTTCTCATCTGCCAACTGGGAACAATCAAAGAACAGACCTCATAGATGTGTTGTGAGGATTAGCTGAGATAATTCATGTAAAACATTTAGGACAGTGCTCAGTAAGTTAGCTAACAAAAAAGGCTGTCATATCACATTTAGATATTGGCAATAACCCCAAAGTGAGGTAGGCCAGGGATGATAGTGACAAGGAAACCATGGCTTAGAGAACTCAGCAACTTCCCTGAAGTTACACAGAAGGAGTAGAGCCAAAACTGGAACCAAAATCTGTCCCTCTGTGCTTTCTACTTCCTTTTGCTATTCCCACAGATATCTCTGTGCTTCCAAAGTCAAGCTCTTCCTCTAGATCACACTGCTTTTAAAAATTCAAAAGAGCTCAGACCTAAGAACCTTGTGACTATATATACCCCAATTCACTAGCCACACAGGTATATACAGTCACCTACCTTCTATGCTGTTTACCCTCCTACAAAATGGGAATTATAGTTGTCCTGTCTATATTAGTGTTATACAGCTTGGATAAGATAAAGTACAGAGTTATTTTAGTACTGAAGCTATAGAAGTACAAAGAATTACTATCTGACATAACACATAAATCTGAAAATATCTAGACAATAATTTTTTTAAATCTTTACTTATTTTCACTTTATTTGGAAGGCAGAGAGATACAGAGACAGAGACAGAGACAGATCCTCCATCTGCTCATTCACTCCCCAGATGCACACAATAGTCAGGGCTGAACCAAACCAAAACCAGGAGGCTGGAAGTAGATCCAAGCTTCCCATGTGGATGATAAGGACCCAAGTACTTGAGCCATCATCTGCTGCCTCCAGGGTACACATTAGTGGGAAGCTGGCCTGGAAGTACAGGTGCCAGAACTCAAACCAGGCACTCTGATGTGGGATGAGGGTGTTCCAAACAATGACTTAACCACTGTGCCAAATGCTCACTCCTAGGCAATAAATATTATAAGGAATTATAGAGAGTAGAAAGGTGAACTGAAAAGGAAATCGGTACCTTCCAAATCAGGAGGAATTTTATTTTATTTATTTATTTATTTTTGCTATGTGGAGAAGAAAGGCCTACAAAGCACTATAAGTTTTAAGTGTAGTGAGTAGAAACAAAAATAATTTAGCTTGGGGCTATTGTTGTGGTATAGTAAGCTAAGCCTCCGCCTGCAGTGCCAACATCCTATATGGTCACTGGTTCATGTCCTAGTTGCTCCTTTGCCGATCCAGCTCTCAGCTATGGCCTGGGAAAGCAGTGGAAGATGGCCCAAGTGCCAAGCTCCTGGCTCCTGGTTTCAGATCAGCCCAGCTCTAGCTGTTGTGGTCATTTGGGGAGTGAATCAGCTGATGGAAGAACTTTCTCTCTGTCTCTCCCTCTGTCTGTAACTCTATCTCTTAAGTAAATAAATAAAATCTTAAAAAAAATAATTTTGCTTGACTAGGGAATATTACAAAGGACTAGCTTAGCTTCAGTGAGGAATTCAGGATGAGTTCTATCAAACTATAAGCCTTTCAGAGTCCAGAGCTCTTGGAGTCGAATACTTGTTGAATAAATAAACACATTGAGATGTGCTACAAGGTAAGTATGAATAGGCATGGAGTTTAACATCAGGCAGAAGCAGATGGACTCGATCCAGTAACCACAGGAAGCTGCTCTCCGTCCTGAGCAGTAGACTGGCATAGTGAAACTCTTTTAGGAAGATCAAACTGGTGGCACGTGCAGGATGCAGCGGAGGCAGGAACAACTTGGCAAAGAGAGGGATTACAGCAAGGAGGCTGCTGCAGTAATCACCATGGCGGGGAGGAGGGTCTGAGCCAAAGCCATGAGAGAGAAAAGAAAAGAAAGGGCCAATTCAGACACAGCACCAAAAAAAAAAAAAAAAAAAAAAAAGTCCCTAGAAAGATCAGATGAAAGAAAGAGGCAACCCTGGTCCTCCTATTTCATCACCTGTATGACACCCTGCAAGATATTTAACTTTCTGAGTTCCAGTTACCTCATCTTCAAAAAGAAGGAAATAATGCTATCTCACAAATATGCACTAAACAAACTGTAGCTCACGTCTTCATCATTATTGTGAGGGTACATCAATGACGACTTGCACATACTAGGAACTCACATGTTACAAGAATAAATGGAAGAATGGATGAATGTATGAACAGCTAAATGAATAAGCAGTATGAGCAAGATATGAATAATAATTGAAAACATGAGCAGAATTCAGAAAATGGGAGGGAAAACTAAGCATCCAGGAGAGAGAAAGTCAGTCCTGTTCTCAGGGCTTTTGGGTTGGGGTGGGGTAGGAGGTGAGCAAATGTAACTGTAAACACTAATGTGTGTTTTACTATCTCCTTCAAAAATGAACCTGTGATACTACCAAAACAGATTGTATTATCTCTATCCTATGAATGAGAGAACTGAATCTCAGTAGTAGAAAGGCTTGCCCCAGTCTTAGAACCAAAAAATGGCAGGGGTACATACCTGGCTAGCTGTACAGGCAGGTACTTTTCCCACACTATTACTGGCTCCTAGCCCATACCCTACAGGGCAATCCTGAATTACATTGCCAGAGACAAGACAGACAGTCTGGATTTCTAATCCATTTTTCTCCCCAGTGGTATTAAATACTGCTAAAATATCTAGGAAAATGGGAAGAGGGGAGGGAAAAAAAATCTCTGTGGATGACAAGGTTGCTAACAGTCTTGGGGGAAATCTCAGAAAATGACAGGAAAAGAAGCAGATCTGTGAGAATTAAAGAGGAAGAAATGAGGAGGAAAAGCCTCTCTTCCCTTCCTGCCTTGCTTCTCCTGGCATCCAGGGATCCCCAATGCCTTGATCACCTCTTGTCTCACATCACCAAACTCGGACCCTGGGCTAAGTCAACTGTCTGCTTTCCCTGATCCCACTCCTAGCTGGGCTAATTTGAAACCCAGGCAGTCTGACAGTACGGCAAAATTGCACATTTCTGACAGCATTAGAAAGAAGGAAGGTGGATGTAAGTCCCTGAGGAATCAGGAAGAAGGGTCTGCTGACTGATTGGAGAATGGAGGTGAGGGGACTAGAAGCCTGGAAAACTGGATTCCAGACACCCACAGGAAACTAGCAAGATGACACCCACAAGCTTTAGGCTACTAGGTCCTACTCCTCTATCTGCCTTACAGATCTCATACAGATAGGCTTGGATCCTAAATGGACCTCCTTTAGTGCTCCAGCTCCCCGTGATCCCCAGAAATGTCTACAGCCCACTCCCAATCCAAATATAACTCCAGCCTCTTCCCCCAAAGTGCTAGACTCCCCAAGAAATACTCAGGGATGCACAGGCCCACCTCTATGGGCCTACATCTCCAAAAGTCAGGAAGGAAAACTACACAATACACCTCCCTTATCTTCAATAAATGAACTTCTTCAGGAAGGCAAGAGGCACTCAGCCCTGTACTTAAGAACTGCAATCCTCCCAGTGGTAGCTGGGGTCCAACTCAGCTGTTTCAATTTCCTCCTGGTTCCTCCCTCTGAATCAACCAGCAAGTTCCTGGCACTAGGACCCTGCAGAAAGGGAATCCTGAGCCTGCGCTCTAAAGAGAGAGATGCACCATTTCACAACTTCAGCAAAAACCAAAGCAGCCAACAAAGCCACAGCCACCTCGGCTGTGCTGGGCTCTGCCTTTTGGGCAGCTCACCGGCCACTCCCCAGAAGCAGATCATTCTGTCCTTTCTCTTTAAACTCACGACATCATCTGATCAGAATGGAAATCAGTCTCTTCAAGCTACCACGCAAAGGCGTATCCATGGCAACCTCAAGAGGAAGGACACAGAGATGATGCTCCAGTGACTGCAGCAGGAAAAGGTAAGTCTGTTTCCCTTCCATCCACGCCATTCCACCATTCTCCCCTTTCACTCAAGACAGGTGTGTACCTTACCTGGCAATCCTCTCTATCACACCAACTCAGAAAACACACAGGTGAGTTCATCATCATTAGTAACCTCATTATTACATAAGGTTATAGGCATGCCTAGTTTCATAACTGAATGGTAGGAAAAATTCTTTTCTGGGCAATGGGGATGGGGACAAGAGCTCTTTTTTTGTTCACTGTCTCAGGTGACACGGTCTCAGGCTGCAAAATCTGACAACTTGCTATCAGTCACTTGTCTTTCTTTTCAGGATGCTGGACAATCACTCAAGGGTTTCAGAGTTTCCCTATGTAGTTGAAAAAAGCTGGCAGCAACACTGACCCCAGTGCCCTGCCCACCTGTGCCACCACCAGCTCACTTACTAGTATGCTAGGACTCCCTCGCTAGCAGCCCCCGATTCTAGCCCCTCATGGTCCAGAAACCGGGAGTTGGACTTAAATTTCTGCCTTCTCTGATACTCAGGAAAAGGAATCCCATTTCTACAAAGGCAAGAGATTCACTAGACATAAATATTACTAAGCCTAACCAATCCTCCCTGCCTCAATTTCCCCTTCTGTAAAATAGGAATAATAGCAATACCTTTCCAATAAGGCTGTTGTAAAAATCACATGATAATGCCTGAAAAGCATTTAAGAGAGTGCCTGGTATGAAGCACTCAATAAATGTCAGCCATTATTACCATGAGGAAGACGAAGGACAAGCCTGTAGTGCAGGATTTCAGTTCAGAGAATCCTCAAGATTCTTGAAGTTTCTCTCGATTCTGTTCTTTCCCCTTCCTCTGAACAGCTGTTTCACGTTTCCTTTACCACTCTCAAGGCCTTATTTCTGATCAAGCCCCATCCCTCAGCAGATGACCTTGCCAAGATAGAAAACCAGCCTATGAAGTAAAAATTCCTTTGCAAATTCCATCATTGCCTCTTTCTTCCTAAATTCCTTCCTTTCTCCTTCCATTGTTCCTTTTCAAAGAAAATAGTGTCCCCTCCTCTTCAGGGCCACCACTGCCACCCTCCTCTGAGGATCTGAATTAGCAACCACCTTTTCTCTTGGGCTGTCAACTGTACCATTTCTGATGGCTCTCATCCATCTCTAGACCTTGCTATTCTTCTGCAAGTTGTCACAGTCCCTGTGCTTCCTTCTCTGCGCAACCACTCAGAATACACTCTCCCTGTCCTCAGTCCCCATATACTCTTCAAATCATTGCAATCCCACTCCATCCCCAGCACCCACTGCAGCCCTGGTGAACACAAGCTCCTAACTCCCGAACTCCAAGGTGCCTTTTCCAACTTCCTCCTACTCGACCTCCCTATAGCAAGTGAAACTGCTGATCCTCCTCCTGGCAGCGTTCTCCTTCCCCAGCTTCCCAGGTAACGCTCTCGCTGACCTTGTGCACCATTCTTTTACATCTCCTGGGCCACATCTAGCTTTCTATAAGCATGGCTGGGAGAGTACATCCATTCACAACTTCAATGGCAACTTACCACCCGTAGAAGAAATTCACTTCTGAACCTCAGACCCACATCTCTACCTGTCTAAGTGCCAGAGACCCCTCAAGTAGTATACCATGTCCCAAAACACACTCAGTATCTTCCCAGTAAAAAACGTTCTTTGTTCTTCCTTTGCTACTGGCACCACTATCTACTCAAAATAGAAAATGAATCACCCTCAACAACTCCTTTCTTGTTTTCAACCAGTTAGATTGCATCAGGTTAACTCTGTCTCTGCTGTCTATCTCGAACTTGGCCCACCCCTCCCTCCATCTCCATTGTCCTAATCCTTGGTTGAGCCCTAAACCATGCCTATGTTATTCTAAGAATCTCCCGATGTCCCTGATCCAGGTAAGTTCTCCCCTTTCAGACTAGTTCTATAACCAGCTTCCCAAAGCGCAATCAATGCCACCTTCCTAGAAACCTCCAGTGGCTTCCCTGCCCACAAAACTGAATCTTCTTAGCACTTCATTATGGGCTATTAAAATCCTGGCGTTGTGGCATAGTGGGTTAAGCCTCTACCTGGGACCCTGGCATCCCATATGGGTGCCGTTTCAGGTCCTGTCTGCTCCACTTTCAATCCAGCTCCCTGCTAATGTGCCTAGGAAAGCAGCAGAGAATGGCCTGAGTGCTTGGGCCCCCACACCCATATGGGAGACTCAGATGAAGCTCCTAGCTCCTGGCTTCAGCCTGGCCCTGGTTGTTGTGGCCATTTGGGGAGTGAACCAATGGATGGAAAGTCAGTCTCTCAGTCTCTCTCTCTCTCTCTCTCTCTCTCTCTCTCTTCCCCTCCCTCCCCCCCTCTCTGTAACCCTGCCCTCCAAATAAATAAATAAATCTTAAAAATAGAAATCCTGGCCTCATTACCAATCCAGTCTCATCAATAAGCTCTCCTCTGACCCCGAAGTTCTCTTATATTCTAGCCACTTGGATCTATTTCTCCTAATGCCTCTGCAGATGTTGCAAAAGTTACCAGCAGCATTCTTCTCCCTCCTCACCCTTCAAGGCTCAGCTCAGGCATCACTTTCCCCATGAAGATTCTCCTGACTTCTCTATGGAGGGCTGATCATTCCCTCCTGGGCCCTCACACAACACTTTGGATGTTATCTCCATCACAATACCACATTTTAGTTAAAATATTTTCTCCCTCACCCTTAGCATGAATTACTCTAAGACAAAGAAATCTACTCATTTCAGTATCTAACACAGTGCTCTGTACAGAGAAGGCACTCAATGCTGAATAGAAGCCTGCACCAACACCAGGCTCTAAGGACAGCTTTCCCAGAGAATAGCTCCACCCTTAAGACCACCATCAGGGGGAAAATTAACAGTCATGGTGCACCTGAACACACACACGCCAGTAGATGTGGCTCTTGTCTTTCCAGATCGGAACCTAAGAAACTAAAAAGTACAGAAAGAGTGCCAGGTCCTGTGAAATTTGACAGTGACAATAATTCTCAAGCTCATGTTTCCAGGGTGACAGAACCACAGAGCAGGCTCTAGCTGAAGCACAGATCTTCTGGGAACCCACATCAGTGAGGCTTTGGGAGCAGCAAGGGCCCACGCTCTGCTGCAGTGAAGCCCTTAGGAGATGTGAGGGAGGCTGGGGAGGTCTGTCCATCAGCTGGTACCAGCCTGAATTTCAAGAGTGACAGAAAGCCAGAGTCAAATTCTTCAAGATGGCAAGGACCTTAGCATAGACTTGAATCAGGCAGTCTCTCAGCTCTTCTCTCTTCAGGGGATGCTGATGACCCAGCTCCCACATCCTTTGGTGAGATATCTCAAGTGCCCCCAGCACTACCTAGTTGCTGAAGACAAGCCAAGTAACCTGGCAATCATCTACTCCAATCCCTCCCAACTTGTGACTCCAGGCAGCCACTAGCATTGATACAGCAAAACCTAGAGTCGTATTTGTCAATGGTACTATGATCCTCCCAACTATTCTGCCTCCTCCTTAACCACATCTCCTTCGTACTGCAACACCCAGTCAGGCCCAATTTATCAAGTCTTTTCAGTGCTGCCTCTTGCAGCCTTCCTTTCTCCTCCATTGTCACCGTCATCACTTTGGTCATCACTTTGGTCTGCCTTTTAATAGTTTTGAAAATTAAGGCACATCTTCACTCTCTTCGGTGCTTCATCTTTAAAATATGGTAACAGCTACTCTGTCTACCTCACAGGGTCATTAAATCAAATGAGATCACACCTGTGCAAAGTTCTGTAATCTGCAAAGTTGGATATAAATACAAGGCATTACTGTTGTCACCAACCTAAGTCCTCTATTACTGACATATGAAGCTGAGTTTGTCCCCTTTCCTACTTCCAAGCACCTTGTACACTGCAAATATATCCTCTAAAGGTAAGCATACCCTCTAAAATACTGCTGTTCATACACTCATCTGCCTAACATCTTTTACTGGCATCTCACTTCTTGCTGTAATCTAACCAGCCTGGATTTGACACAGGTAGTCTCAGCTCTGCATTACTGTCAGCTTAGGATGCCTTCCCCAAGCCTTCAAAGTCCAGCTAAAGCTCTAGCACATTTCGTGCAGAACAAAGACAAATTTAAAAAAAGAAATTTCCTAAACATGATTTTGGAGAGTGTGGTAAGAACAGCTGCCATCGGATACAGTAAGAGTCGAGTTTTTAAAGAGGGATTACACTTCTTGTCTTCTTGTTTCATTCTAAGAGATAACCTAGGACCAACAGGAGGGAAGGGACAGAGATGTATTTCAGCAACATAAAGACCTTCCTTATTGAGCTATCCCAAGAATAAAACAACATGCTGAATATATGGTTAATTCCACATTACTGGAAATGTTCAAGACAAACTGCAAAATTTACCAAGGTGACAAGAATATTTTGTAAATGGAACTGAGCCATCACAAGCATAGCTGGACTAGACTCCCAGCACCGTGGATCTTGTCTAGTCCTGACTCTCACTAGACAGGTGAAGGGACTCACCGGGGGCTGCAAGCAGTTTGTTCTGGAGAAGAGGGAGAACACCCTCTCTTTCGACCCAGTGGTCTACACCCGTGCTACGACGAGTGCGGTCCATGGGGCCAGCAGCATTAGCATCACCTGAGAACTTGTCAGAGCTGCGGAGTCGACACCTGTCTTTTAACAGGACCCTACTCAACATATGCACCGTTAAAATTCGAAAAGCACTGACCCTCACTGTCCCTTCCAAACCTCGAGTTTCTAATTCTGGAACCGTGCTTCTCAAACTGCTCCAGATGTTAAACAGAGGCACAAGCCCGGAAGGGCAGTGTTAACAGGAAGATTTGGAAAACTCCCCATGCCTGCTCTCAGTTGATTTATGGTAAGCACCATTAGCATAGTGAAGGCTCTGAAATACTCTGCAGGGCAGAAAACTTTAACCACAAATTTTCCAAGCATATTTGAGTGCAAAATGTCTCTCTCAAAAATAAAGCTCAGCATCTCTTCTGACATCCCACAGCTCAGGCTGCACAGCAACACACGGTCAAGAGTGTCGCACGGTTCCTGTCACTGTCGGTACCGGCACCGCGGGCTTGCTCCGCGCAGTCAATGAGGGTAAGTTGCTAAGTCGCGGCCCCCTGACAACGGGCAGAGCTCCCTGTCCTTGCGAGCCGGCGGCGGCCGCGCCTCAAGACCCGGGATGCGCAGCACCGCTGCTCCAGGGTCCCCTTCCCAGCTCGGGCGGACCCAGGACGGGAAGGACTCACACCCCAAGCACTCATCCAGATCCCCAGCTTAAATCAGTCCTCTGGGATTGCTTTTCGTGTGACACGTTTCTCCACAAGCGCCCACACAGAGCCTGCGGCTCTGAGCGGGTTCAGGGGTGCAGCGGACGCTCCCAGCAAAGGGGGGGGGGGGGTTGCAGTTCTGGAGGGACGCGGAGGCGCAGTCACTCTGACTCCGGCAGAACAGTGTCAGGTGGAAGAGCTCAAGTGGGTGGGGGGAGGCTGGGCTCAAACACTCGGGGGGAGCCCCCCAGACCGGGGCGAACGCCCACCCCTTCCGCGGCCCAGCCCCGTCAGCCCCCGCCCCGCACATCGAGCGCCATGCTGCGCCCTAAGCCAGTGACGAGCTCCCGGCCCACCGCCCGCAACCTCGTAAACACTTGGGGGCGGCGGAGCAGACGGTTGGCAGGGTCGCCGCCTCCGTACCTGTCCTGTCAGGGGCTCCGCGCCCGGCTCGGGCCACACCGGCGACCGACGCCCAAGACCCTGCGGGGCGCGCCCCGCCCTCATGGGCTGCCCGACGCGCCGCCTGACCCCTCCAGTACCTCCCCAGAACCCCCCACCCCTCGGGCCCAGAGGCACTCTGGGTCCGGGGTGCACGGTACTCTTTACTGCAGTCCCAACCGGACTGACAACTCCGCACCGAGCACTGTCGCGATCACATCGATCAGGCACAAAACTGGACACCTGGGGCGTGATGTGCGCATGCGTATTGTGCCTGGGAGGCCTATTTAGGCGCATAAAGGAGAGGATCGTCGTGGCGAACGCCCTCTGTCGGAGCAGAGGAGACAGCGCAGAGGAGCTGGAAGTGCAAGCTTCTGAGTGCTAATTAAAACAGGAGTGATAAATCATATCTTGTCGGTTAGCTTGGGAAAAAAATAAATTTTGATGCTACTCAGTGTTATACATCATGTGCAGATACATTCTAATATGCTTGTAATGAAGATGTAAAATAACACAAATTTATATAATGCCATTTTGGCTTTTTTATATTAAAAGAAACATTGAACAATAAACTTCTTGACCCAATGTACCCTCTTCCAAAAATGAAGCCTTAAAAAACGGATCACGTGGGGCCGGCGGCGAAGCGGATTAAAGCCCCAGCCTACAGTACTGGCATCCATGTGGGCGCCAGTTTGAGTCCCAGCTGCTCCACTTCTGATCCAGCTCCTTGCTAACGTGCCTTGGAAAAGCAACAGAAGATGGCCAAAGTGTCTGGGCCCCTGCCATTCACATGAGATACCCAGAAGAAGCTGCTGGCTTCGGATTTGCTCAGCTCTGGCTGTTTCGGCCATTTGGGGAGTGAACCAGCAGATGGAAGACCTCTTTCTCTCTCTGTTCTACCTCTCTCTCTGTAACTCTTTCAAATAAATAAATTAAAAAAAAAAAAAAACAGATCATGTGTACCAAGATATTTGCACAAGGATGTTGAGAGAGGCAGAATTTTATAAGCATAGTTTCAAATTCTTCACTGCAACTTACTAGCTGTGTGAGACTTGGAGCTGGTTACTTAAACCTCTCTGTGCCTCTGTTCTTCGGTTGTAAAATGACAATGTTAATGACAATATCTGTCTCACTGGGTTATCAGGAACATTGAGTGAATCCATGTAAACAGCCTGAAATACAACCATACAATGCTTCTAATGTTTACCTCAGTTAATCTCAAATTGAAAACAATCTGAAAAAATCCATTAAATTGATGGGAGGATGAGGGGGTTAAGAGGTAGGAGGGATGAATTGGGCACCCTCTCCATTATTTCTGTCTTTTCCCCATTTTATCTTCTAAATATTTCTAATGGTATTCAGAATATGTATTTGCATGGCTCAAAAATCAATGGGGCTGGAGTTGTGGTGCAGCAGTTTAAGCTGCTGTCTGCAGCATGGTGTCCTACGTGGGCACCAGTTGGAGTCCCACCTGCTCCATTTCAGATCCAGCCCTGCTAACGTGCCTGAGAAAGCATCAGAAGATGGCCCAAGCACTTGGGCCCCTGCACCCACATGGGAGACCTGGAAGAAGCTCCTGGCTCCTGGCTTTGGCCTGGTCCAGCCCTTGCTGTTGGAGTCACTTGGGAAATGAACTAGCAGATGGAAAATTCTCTCTCTCTCTCTCTCTCTCTCTCTCTCTCTCTCTCTCTCTTTCTTTCTCTCTTTCTCTCTCCCACTCTCCCTCTCCCCCTCTCTCCCTCTCTCCCTCTCTCCCTCTCTCTGTAACTCAGACTTTCAAATAAATAAAAATTTGGGGACCAGCGCTTGTGGTGTAGGAGGTAAAGCCACTGCCATCGGTGCCAGCATCCTATATAGGCACCAGTTTGTGTCCGGCTGCTTCTCTTCCAATACAGCTCTCTGCCATGGCCTGGGAAACCAGTGGAAGATGGCCCAAGTGCTTGGGCCCCTGCACCTGCGTGGGAGACCTGAAAGAAGCTCCCAGCTCCTGGCTTCGGATTGGCCTTGCTCTGGCCGTTGCTGCCATTTGGGGAGTGAACCAGTGGAAGGAAGACCTGTCTCTCTCTGCCTCTACCTCTCTGTACCTCTGCCTTTCAAATAAATAAATAAATAAATGTTTAATAAATAAATAAATAACAATTTTTTAAGAACTCAAAAGAGAGGTTGGCCTTTGGTGCAGCAGTTAAGACACTGACTGGGACCCTGGGGTCCCCTACAGAGTGCCTGGGTTGAGTCCCAGCTTCTCTGCTTCCATTCCAGCTTTCTGCTAATGTGCACCCTGGAAGGCAGCAGATGATGCCAAGTAGTTGGGTCACTGCCACCCATGTGGGAGACCTAAATGGAGTTCCTGGCACCTGGCTTTGGTTTCGCCCATCCCTGGCTGTTGCAGGCATTTGGGGAGTTAACTAGCAAATGGAAGACATCTCTCTCTCTCTCTCTCTCTCTCTCTCTCTCTGGTAAAATAAAAATAAATAATTTTTCAATCAAAAGAACACAAAATAGTATGCACTAAGAAGCCTCCTAAACCCTTGTTCCCTCCATTCCATGCTCTTCACCTGCTACAGGTACCCCTTGTTATTAGTTTCATATTTATTTTCTCAGTGTCTAATGCAAACACAGGTGCATATGAATCCATAAACTTACTCCTCCGCTTTCTTATGCAAAAGATAGCATACTATGTATACTTGCACCTTGCTTTCCTCACTTAAGGTATCTTGAAGATCTTTCTTTTTTTTAAGATTTATTTTATTTATTTGAAAGAAAGAGTTACAGAGAGAGATAGAGACAGAGAGAGAGGTCTTCATCTACTGGTTCACTCTCCAGATGGCAGCAATGGCCGGAGCCAGGAGCTTCTTCCGGGTCTCCCACGTGGGTGCAGGGGCCCAAGGCCTTGGGCCATCTTCTACTGCTTTCCCAGGCCATAGCAGAGAGCTGGATCAGAAGAGGAGCAGCCGGGACTAGAACCAGAGCCCATATGGGATGCCGGCGCTTCAGGCCAGGACGTTAACCCGCTGTGCCACAGCGCCAGCCCCTTGAAGATCTTTCTAACTCAGTGCGTTAGAGATGGTCTTCATTCATTATTCCAGTTGTACAGTAGTCTACTGCACAGGTACAGGCGATTTATTAACCAGTTTCTACTTATTTTCTTTCCCCTCTTGATGGTACAATGTTGCAGTGAATCGCTGTGTACACGGGATTTTCCATAAGAGAGCCATCATAGCTGTAGGATGCAACTGGCTCAAATAACAAATGCATCTATAACTTTAGTAGCAACAGCTTCTATTCTCTTTTTTATCAAAGAGAAATGGCATTAAAATAGCTTTAAAGATCTTAAAAGGCACTTACACACATATCTGTTATTGTGATAAAACACTTAAAATTTACCACTTCAGGCCGGCGTGGCGGCTCACTAGGCTAATCCTCCGCCTGCGGCGCCGGCACACTGGGTTCTAGTCCTGGTCGGGGCGCTGGATTCTGTCCCGGTTGCCCTTCTTCCAGGCCAGCTCTCTGCTGTGGCCAGGGAGTGCAGTGGAGGATGGCCCAAGTGCTTGGGCCCTGCACCTGCATGGGAGACCAGGAAAAGCACCTGGCTTCTGGCTTCGGATCAGCGCGGTGCGCCGGCCGCAGCGCACCAGCCGCAGCGGCCATTGGAGGGTGAACCAACGGCAAAAAAGGAAGACCTTTCTCTCTGTCTCTCTCTCACTGTCCACTCTGCCTGTCAAAAATAAAAAATTAAAAATTAAAAAAAAATTACCACTTCAATTACTTCTAAGTGTACAGTCAGGGGTATGAAGTACATTCACACTGTTGTGCAACCATTGCCACTATCCATTTTTAGAATTTTTTAAAAGATTTACTTATTTATTTGGGAGGCAGAGTTACAGAGAGAGTGGGAGAGGCAGAGAGAGAGAAAGGTCTTCTGTCTGCTGGTTCACTCCCAAATGGCTGCAACAGCTGGAGTTGGGCCAATTTGACCAGGAGCTTCTTCCAGGTCTTTAATGTGGGTCCAGGGACCAAGCACCTGTCCATCTTCCACTGCCTTCCCAGGCCATCAACAGGGGGCTGGATAGGAAATGGAACAGCCAGGACACGAACGAACATACTGCACCACAGCGCCAGCTATACTAAAAATCTGTACCCAATAAACAATAACTTTCCATTCTCCCTTCCCCCTACATCCTAGTAATCACCATTCTACTTTCTGTCTCTATGAATTTGAATTTTTTAGAGATTCATTTGTTTGAAAGGCAGAGTATCACAGAGAGAGGAAAAAACAGAGAGGGAAAGATCTTATCTTTGCTGGTTCACTACCCAAATGGCCACAATGGCAGGGCTGGGCCAGGCCAAAACCAGGAACCAGGAGCTTCATCCGAGTCTCCCACGTTGGTGGCAGGGAACCTTAGGACTTGGGCCATCCTCTGCTGCTTTCCCAGGCACATTAGCAGGGAGCTGGACTAGAAGTGGAGCAGCTGGGACTCCAACCAGTGGCCATATGGCCTGCCAGCATTGTAGGTGGTGGCTTAACCTGTTATGCAACAGGTCCAAAGACTTAACTAAGTATTTGAAATCCAGAGTGTATTTTGTTTTAAAAAAAATTTATTTATTATATTTTCATTTTATTTGAAAGGCAGAGAGACAAAGACAGCTGGAGAGAGATTGCCCACCTTCTGGTCCCCTCCCTAAATGTCTACAATAGTCAGGGGTGGGCCAGGCAGAATCTTGGAGCCTAGAATTCAATGTGTGTCCCCCATGTGGGTGGCAGGAACCCAAGTACTTGAATCACCACCTGCTGCCTCTCAGGGTGTGCATGTGCAGGGAGCTGAAATTGAAAGTGGAGCTGGGGGGCCGGCACTGTGGCGTGATGGGCTGAGCCTCTGCCTGCAGTACCGGCATCCCATATGGGTGCCGGTTCGTGTCCCAGATGCTCCTCTTCTATGCTCTCTGCTATGACCTGGGAAAGCAGTGGAGGATGGTCCAAGTCCTTGGGCCCCTGCACCCTCATGGGAGACCTGGAGGAAGCTCCTGGCTCCTGGCTTTGGATCAGCCCAGCTCTGGCTGTTGTGGCCATCTGGGGAGTGAACCAGCAGATGGAAGACTTCTCTCTGTCTCTCCTTCTCTCTGTCTGTAACTCTACCTCTCAAATAAATAAATAATATCTTAAAGAAAGAAAGAAAGAGAACGAAAGAGAGAGAGAGAGAGAGGAAGGAAGGAAGGAAGGAAGGAAGGAAGGAAGGAAGGAAGGAAGGAAGGAAGGAAGGAAGGAAGGAAGAGTGGGGCTCGACCAGGCACTTTGATACAGGATGCAGGCATCTCAGCTTGTGTCCTAACCACTTCGCCATCATTTGCCCCTCCAGGACATATTTTGCACTTGCAGACCATCTCTATTCAGACACTATGTTTTTGTTGGGGATACTTGATATGGTTCAGATTTCATAAGACTTATGGTTGAAAAACTACATGCACATGTGCTACTTGTTTCAGATTGTACAAGTTTTCCAAAAACTGAATTGAATAGCCATTTTTAAACTTACAGTTAACATGATCAAAATTAAGTAAAATTTAAGATTTAGTTCCATGGTCACATTGCTCATATTTCAAATGCTTGGTAGCCCCATGTGGCCAGCAGCTCCCCTATCAGGCAATGCAGAGGCAGCTTCAATCCTTCCTCTCCCTGCTCTGTTAGGCTTTCAGGAGAGGGTGTGGCCCTTCAAGAGAGTCCTTAATGTATTTTCTTTTTTTTTAAGATTTTTTTTATTTATTTGAAAGTCACAGTTACACAGAGAGAGAACAAGAGGCAGGGAGAGAGAAAGGTCTTCCATCTGATGGTTCACTCCCCAATTGACTGCAACGGCCTGGCTGCGCTGATCCAAAGCCAGGAGCCAGGAGCTTCTCCCAGTCTCCCATGTGGGTGCAGGGACCCAAGGACTTGGGCCATCCTCTACTGCTTTC